CTCGAATGCGTCTTCGGCAAATCATCGTTTTCGGGATCGAGTGTAGGGAGTATGCAAAAATCCTCAAAATCAGTACTATTCGTGTAGCGAGATGTATGGCGTTACATAGAAAATTTGGTTACTTGGAAGGACGGCCCTGTGAAGCTCACTGATGCGTATTCAGTTAGAGATACTCCAGGGAAATTCGCCGAAACAGAGGCACGGTAGTGTTAAGTTGTCATCACTGCCAGGTGCTCTGTCTACTATAGAATTAATTATTGGTTTGGTCAAAGGGATTTGGAGTTTCAACTAGCCATTTACTGAGTCATATAGACTTCACGATGGACCCAAAAGTGTTCGTGGGTTCCTCTCAAATTACTGTCTACAAACCACACACTTGTAATGGGAATGAATGCGGCAGAGTGTCGCTTCACCCTCAATTTTCACTTAGAACAGAGACCAGGCGAGTTTTGTTGTCATTAGTGCCATCTTCGAATGGCCTGTTGGAGTTCGATAGTTCATGGTCCTAGCCCGTCTAATTCTACTGCAATTTAAGTTGTCGCTAGGTATGGGATGCAAGCCAAATCGGTAAGTATAAGAAATGTAAAGGAATTACTTGTCCATGGCGATAAGTTCCCGATTCATCCGACGTAGGGTATGTGTCTGTTGCATACACCTGCATGCATGTAAACGATAGCTCGTAATGTAATCATTTTTCTTTCAAAGCGGGACTTATCTCACTTAAGACTGTATCCATTGTCACGTTGGAGTTTCCTGTGGCATCCTTCGCTGCATCGGTTTATGAAATTCGGATGCGTGGCGAACTTTCTTTTATCTGTTGGACGGATTCAACTATCGTGCGACTTTACGGTGAGAACGGACTATAACTTTGTGTTTTGTCGTAGACTGGCCGGCAACGATACTACTCGGTGTGATTAAGGGACAACCGTGGTGATCGAGAATCAAGACGCCGAATTTTTGTTAGGTTTGTCGTTCTTAACGGGACCAAGTAGCAATGAACCCGTTAATTGAGGTCCATGAGGATGCAAAGTTGTAAACAGAGCCTGTTTGAGTGATTGTTTTCTTCTACTTCTGGCGTAACTTGCGGGAAAAATACATTCACCTACATAGATGGCGTATGTCCTTGATTTAGTTGGTGCAATTTAACACACAACAGTTGCTATTGGTGATTATTAGAATAACTAAATGCGCTGAGTTCCATCAAGCAGGACTGAGTGTGATTAGACTACTTCGGAAAGAACTCCGGTTCACGGATATCCAAGAACTGTCTGGAGATCGTAATATGCCAGCGAGTGAACTCAAACGAAGCCGTTCACGTGGGTTATGCGTGGAGGGTGTCTTAACAGTAGGAGAACGAATAACAAACGAAGACACACACAATCATGCTCCTGCGTGAGCATCCGGTCTGACTATCAGGTGATGAGAATACCTTACATTTGTCAAGTCGACTGTATCACCACGGGTAGAAAAAGTTCGGGTCAGAAGGTATTGATTTCCACAATCAGTTCACTGTGGGAAAAAGCTGGCTGTCTTACTTCTATTCAGACGAGGAATAGCCACACTGAAGTTGGGTAATCCGTGAGTAAAGGTCCCTTTGTAGTGATGGTTGTACATTTTATTGGTGAATTAGTTTCATCACTTGATTTGTATTCCCGCGCAAAATCAAATACTGTGGAACCAAAAGTGAATTATTTGAATAATTCGGCTTTTCAACATAGATTGGATTCACTGGCAGGATGGAATCTGTAGTGAACACTACCAAATCTCCTTGTATCACAAGAAGAGGAATAACTCCACAGGCTGAGTCGAACTTCCTACTGAGAAGTCGTCACTCAGGGAACCAATCAATACGTGAGCACCTTATGTGGTTTTTGTGATTGATAGGCGGCGGTATATTCTGCTCAACTGAGAGATGATTAGCCGCTCTTGACAGAACAGTTAAATGTCCAGACTAGTAACCGAAGTGTCACGTTTTCGAAACTTCCGGAGTTTAGTGATTGCTGGTGGTTCTCAACAAGGCTGAAACAGCTGTACGGTGCTTCTAGGCTTTTCAGTATAAACTGGCCTCACCGACTGGACTAAACGAAATCCCAGTCGATTCCTTTTAGCGCAGTCAGTGTCTATCAAGAACTCTATCCATAAAATGTGCCGCAGCCAACGTCACTCCCCTATTTCAAGCTCCAGCTATATAACTTGTTCATAAACGATCAAACCCACAGCATTTGCCTCGGATCACCAGCTAACAACCATGTGCAAACAACCATAAGTATAGGCATAATATACTACTCATAAGGTAGCTGTCGGCGACTGGTTTCGTCCTTCTTGGGGCTCATGAGATAGGTGCAGCTCCCGAGCTTATGTCAGCCTTATGTTTTATTCGAACCCAAACTGCACGAAATAAGCGAAATACACTCATTTGCATACCAATTTGTTTGTGGTCGAAGGCTCACTTGGAACTCAGCTGGATTGCTCGTTTCTCATATTGTTGTGTATCGGAAGCGGGTACGATCAACGGCTATACGCCAAATGAGAACGAGCGCATGAATCCCAAGCTAGGACGCGAGCCCGGACACTCCTAGCTTCGAGAGAGAAGGCCACACCTTCAGAGGAGGGTTCTTACTGCCTCAAAGGCAAATTACAGCAGGAGCACCGTCATATACATATATACATATATATACTTCGAGTGACCTTGGGGAGCAATAAATCAGTTAGCACACACAAAGTCTAACTGGCCAATAGGAAAGAGGCGCAGTCTTTTGGACTGTGGTGCAACATTCAAAACTTTAGAGAGATAAATCGGCAATAACTCGAAACAAATAAACGGTTTTTGGGGATACTTACATCCACAGCAGATATTCTTAAGCAACTGAATGTTCAGCACCAGAAAAAAATCGCTCAGTTGTAGCATTTTTTCGGTGACTATCTGCCATGCCACCAGAAGGAAAACGAGGGCTAGGATACTGCCAGATTGCCCAAGCCTAGACAGGGGAAGTCGAGAAGCGGAGGTTAGGTTCGAATCACGGACCTTGCGGTCAGTAACTCGCGCTCCAACCACTGAGCCATTTCGCTCCCTTGCTACATCAGGCCGCCTCATGTTTCAGTTGGCACGATATTCGAGATATGGCGATACGTTGCACAGATGTCCTACACCACTCATAGAGTAGCTGAAAACTTTTCTACAGCCCACGACCAGTTTCACTCTTCTTGGGGCTCATGGTAATTGCTTAAGAACATCATAAACGAGAGATTCAGCGCAGTTCCAGTTGAGTTTCCCGTCAAAACCAAATTGGTATATAAATGAGTGTACTTCGCCAAACCTCAGTTTTCTCGTAACGATTCTGGTTTGTCTTGAACTTTATTCTAGATGTTTACTAAGAGAGCACGATCTCCCAGCTCGAAGGCAGCGTTTTCTCCCTCGCCTACATAAGATGCTGTGTGCTGTAGGAGAGCGGACCTACATGGGAGTTTGATGCACAGATTGACTGTCAGCATTGATGTGCTGTCTATCATGAGGGACCGAATACTCCGAACAGAAATTGTCATGGCCACCAGCTGGAACATATCTGGAGCACCCTAGTGAAGTAGAACCCTGGACGGTGAACGTGGAACCACCTGCGGCCTCGGAGGTTTATGGCTGCATATGTTCTCTCAGGCACCACTTAGCCTCTGGTCCGGATGACCTCCCAGCCGCACTGTTAAAAGATGGGGTCGAAGTCCCCAGTCAACGCTTGTCTGATCTGTTTGGTTGCATTTGGGAAAAGGAGTCTGTCCCAGACAACTGGGGATAGTCGGTGATTGCGCCCATTTTCAAAAAAGAGGCTCGTAATGAGTGAGGTAACCACAGGAGAATCAGCTTGATCCCGGTCGTAACGAGACTGCTGGCGTCACTGGCGCTTCGTCGCCTTATGGTGGCTAGTGAAAAACTGACTCGAGAGCAGCAAGCAGGATTACAGCCTGGTAGGGGTTGTGTTGACCAAATCTTCACACTGCATCAGGTGCCCGAACAACACCATATGTATAACCGACCTACAAGTCTAGTATTCCTGGATTTCCGAGGCGCATTCGTATCGGTTGACCGGTCTGTTCTTGTTGATACACTTGCCCACCAAGGAATGCCCCGGAAGTTTGTGAACATTATAAGCTCTTTGTATTCCGACTTCCGGATGTGAGAGTATACGGCGAGCTCTCCAAAAGCTCCCGTACACAAATGGTGTCCGTCAGGGATGCCCACACTTCCAATTCCTGTTTAAATTCGTGATCGATGGGATTATGAGACGAACGCTGGAAGGTCTCCAAAACCCTGATTTTCAAATAGTCTGTGAGGAAAACCTTGTCGATCTGGAATATGCAGACGGCATCGTCCTTATCTTCGAAAAGGAGGAGAAGGCACAAGTATTCTTGGATGAACTGACCAAAGTCATCCCATCCTTTGGTATGCACTGTGCTCCCACAAAGTGTAAGGTCATGCTCGTGCCGTCACTGAACACGCCACTTACAATACAGGGAGAGGTAGTGGAAGTTGTGGAGTGTCTTACGTATCTTGGAAGTGTTTCTACTAGCATGATCGCTGATATTCTTAAAAGTTTTAATCAGGCATCACACGCTCACCTATCAATTGGAAGCAGGTTCGGGTGTTGTAACACATCCCGGAATGCTTAGCCGCGACTTAAATCATTCCAGCACATCTGGCGTTAACGATTACCAAGCCTTGTCTGTTCGCACAACAACAACGATAAATTCATAAATCAATTCGTTCGCTTTGACCCATTTTTGATATGTCCAGATCCCCGTGCATGAAATCAATAAAGTGTCAAGATGTAATACAGTTTCACTCGATACGAAATTCAGTAGTCGAAGATCAACTACTGGTTGTTTGAGAACTGACATGGGGTATGAGAGTCACGTGATTCTATCACTTGACTGACCGTCCGCATGATTGTAGGCGCCCGTACGAACAGTTTTTGAATAGTGAATCCCTAGGTCAATGGATTCTATGGTAGCTAGGATCGTTCTGATGAACGACGATTGCTTTTCCGGTACTTTGTAAAGCCGTTGCGGAGTTCATGATGTACCGTGTGTCCAGCAAACGGGTGAGTTTGATGGTGCCACACAACCGTACGCATAGGCTAAAGGCATAAAGCGACACATGATGAAAAACATTACAGTCGCTATAGTCCCCGCATTGTAGAATATGTCGAAGTTCGATCAAAAACGTCGCTTGCTGACTATTTTAACGATCACTGCCAATTACACTGTGAAGCTATGGAACGGCAGCTTAGGTATTCCGAGGGAGCCTAAAATGTCCTAAGTAGGATTTTTCATGTTCCCCGTGAAACGTCCAAGTTTATTGCCAGAGTATGCTGCAGTCAAACAAGTGAAACTTTATTAGACAGGACTGTTTGACTCAACTTGACGGCAACTGTTCAGGTTCGAACAAAAAAGTTTTCCATTTCGAGTAGCACTTGAACAGCTGGTAGGCCACCGCTGCGTTCTAGTTGCGCATGTAGCCAACCCGAAACTACCGGTCGCTCGGTTTCATCAAGTGTGGCTGTCTGTTGCTTGGTTAAAAGACTTAATCTATTATAAAGGAAACTACTCACAAGGTTGCTAAAAACTCTCCGACATCCCACGACCGGTTTCGCCCTTCTTGGGGCTCATCAGCTTAATTTAACTCAGGTGTTCTGTGTATGTCACATCCCTAAAGCGAGCCGGTATTCAGAGCATTTTAGGTCTCATGAACTAACCGCAGGGGTGCACCATTGTACGCGAGCGACAAGAGGTTCGAGTTACTGTCTGCCGAAAACCCACAGTACCGGGGTGTGTGCAGCATCGATGGTGGTCCATGTCACGGTGCACATGCCGTACGTGGGCGATTACATGCGCGAACAGTGAGGAAACGCAATGTGCGGATTGGATGACGACGTTAACAGCTCGGATTTTGTAGAAGCGCACAGAATGCCGATATACGGACGATCGGACCGATAATCTTAAAACTACGATAGAAGCACTCCTCTTAGGAGGCATCCTGTCTTCAATAGAGTAGAGATTCGAGTCAGGTTACTTGATTAGTTCTTTGAAGCCTATGTTGTTCGTAGGGGATACCATCATGTATAAGCATGAGGGTTTTCAAGTGAAGTACAGCATACGCAGGTGAAAGTAGTCGGAAACGTGGTTTGTTCCAGCTTCACGTGAATGTCCAGGTACAGAAGTAGTCAGGAGGGAACGCGATGACATAGCAGTAAAGTAGACTGTTTTTAATTCGTTGAAACGGTAGTAATATAATGATAAGCGGCTAATGGGAAACTAGCATTGGAAAAGCCCACATTGGTGGTGGGTGCTTGGGGTTGGCGACCAGTAAGACAACGAAAAATTTCAAACGTTCCGGTAGAAAATGCATACGAGAAAAAGTGTAGGGCGCAGTGGGTAACGTTTCGAGCTCGGAGAACAGAACGCATCACAGTGAAGGAATACAAGGGGTATTTGGCAAAACGAAACTAGCAAGATGCCAGCGACATAGGCGGTGGCAGCAGCAGCAGTAAGTAATGATGAATCATGATGCATGGTTGGGAAAATAGCATGTTACATATGTACAGAATTGATACAAGTATTATGTCTTTCCACGTCAGAAGGTTGATCAGCGCCTACCTGGCGTGAGAATTCTAAAACTTCAGTGTATGATGGAGGCTCAGTAACTGTTCGAGTCGGACCAGTTTCACTCGGTGTCTCCGGAACCACCAGTTTGGGTACTTCATGATGGACTGGCTCCGCATCAAGAGAACAAGGCTTAACGATGCTGGAATATGACGGTGGCGGTGGGCTTTCACGACCTAGAGGAGGAAAAGCCACCATTCAAGTAATTGAAAAATGCTTAGTGCGGACCAAGAAGTGAACAATTGTTCCTAAACGAATCATGATTCCTAGTAAATATGGGTTAAGGTTTCATTTCAACAATTGTGACCATGTGATGTGGACTCTGCGAATGAAGCATTAGTGCCGCTATATCCCATACAAGTGTGAGCTGATCACATTGCCGACCAACAGTTCGTTGCCGAATGGGTAACCAGCCAGGAAGTAGCGAACTTGAGATTCATTAGAGTTTCGTGAGGCTTGCACTTCTAGTGCTTCTCAACAAAGCTTTTCAGCACAGACTGACTTTAGTTACAAGACAGAGTCTCCATTAAAGGATTCAGAAAGGATTCAGGTGTGGGCACCCTGGCAGTATCTCAGCCATCGTACAAATACAGCAGTGAAGTATCGATGTTGAACACTGATGTCATGCTGTCGATGATGACGAAACTTATTTCATTCAGGGAACTGAGGATCTAGAACTTTTTTGCGGTTCGTGAACTACTTACATCCATCATAGTAGCTTTGGAAGGTTCAATTTGCAAGCAAGCCGTGGCGAAGTGCGCAAGCGTTGTGCCCACGGAACAATATTGTATACTTCTTCAGGTGACCATAGACAATCTCTGCGAACAGAGAATCGGGATGAACATCTCACGTATACATTTTAAAACACCTGGGTCTACACTTTTCTCGATTACCATGGCACTCGTTTCTTCCCGGGTGCGCTGAGACCCAGGTAAGATGACCTGGTGTCTCAATTTCTTGTCAAATCTATACCTCTCAGCACTTGTTGAACTTGGAATTCTTTGGAAAGATTAAGCATAATACGAGGGCTGTTCGAATCTGGCATACTGGCGTTTATATTGGCAACAGAGTTGATAGTGCCTACATTATTCTTGCCTTGAAGTATGGAAAAGTTCACTGACAACAACTAAAGAACAAAAAGTTCTGCATTTGACTAATCCGTTCTTGTTGGCGAAGTTCACCCAATCCAGACAAGATTTCCACACTTCATCGATCATTTACCTTGTGATCCAAACCGTAAGTTTTGTTATTCCACCTTATGGTGATTTTTTTCTCCCGTTTTTTCTGGGACAGACTACTGTTATCAGAAACACGCGCTTCCCGAGCGACATCTAAAGGCACGCTTTCAGGGGTGTCATTTGACAGCGCCACTATCAAACATAGCAAGGAAAATCAAATTTAGTATGATTAGTGTCATGGTGAAATGGTCACCAAGATTTTGACTGACCTCTGACTGGTGGTGGAATGCGTTCGGTCGAATCCTGATGAGGACGACTTAGCCCCCCGATCCGTGTTGCTCTTGATGTGGTTAGCAGCTGTGGCGGTAGCTGATGCGGATGGAACAATCGAGAGGGGGCTGGGAAAAGTGAGGTTCGGTCTGCGTAGCCGCTATTTACATTGGACAAAGAGTAACGCCCGCGTGCCGTAAATAAAGTTGTCCGACGAAGATAGGCTCGGCGACCAAACAGACTAAGCCACATGAGCAAGGACATGCAGGCCAACAGCATGGCTACAATTTTGAACCAAAGCTGTGGCGTTTCACAATTGCCGCATATGCAGGAATGGACGAAAAAGGTTCTGTGGGCGAAAAAGACAAAGTGAGTAGGGTGAGATAACCAGCGACTAGTGGGGCGAATAACTGAAACAGGTGAAAAAAGTTGCCAGTGTAATCAAACATACTAGAAGTCAGTGGGATCATCCAATATCAGAGATACGCAAGCGACTTTCGATTAGTTTCCAAGATAAAGCACTCCCGCTTTCCAGTCACGAGTAGAGGTTCACAAATGTGAGAAGTCACGGTTGAACTTCGATAGAAAACTCACCGTGAAAAGGCAACACCGAAGAGTTGGCAAAAGGGCCACAAACGGCCAACAGCATGCGACGCGAAACTGGATTCAAGAGCGCGGTCTAAATTAATTTATGCATCCCAAGCAACAGTGGCTGTGCGTGGGTTCGCAATAGTTTGGAAACAACACCTACGGTAAACAACCTGAAGCAGGAAACCAAAACTGACGAACATCACGATCCACTTTGTTAGCAGCCCATCTCTGAACAGCTGATAACATCGCAATGAAGAGCCCCTCAGACAGTAGGTTAGAGCGTGTCTGAATTACGGGTAAACTGAATGCTCCAGAGAGAAAAGCTTTATTACGAACTGGCTTCTGTGCAATTTTAGAGAAAGAACACACATCGTGTTACCTGATGAAACTCATTATAAGAAAGTTGATCCACAAACTAAGCGGAACGGACAAGTATGAGTAGCTGCTCTTTGCAATGTTAAGGTATAACACCCACTTTGAATGACTGAAAGACACCTGATCATATGGGTTCAGTTCCCAGTCAGACATAAGTGACGGATTGTGATATAAGCCAGGCGAATGCTGGAGGTAAGTAGAAACTTAGTGAGAATGTATATCAAGGGAAACATCGACCATTATACATATATATATATATACATATATAGTAGAATAAAAAACACCATTTTGGGGATTCCGCAATTAACTCTCGGGGATGGTGACCGATATTTATTGTGCCTTATATATGTATGTATAATTATACACGCATATATATATATATATATATATTATGTGACCGTGAAAGAAAACCAGCGATGTTGAGAACTCAACATGCGTGACCTCACCTCATCCTTCAGCTCTTACCTTCAACCAGCATTTCAAACGTGGCTTTCCAATGAATAATAATAATAATAAGGCTAAATGATCTGCCAAAACAATTTACGTCCAGTCAAAAAAGGATCTCAGTGATTGTATTAGCTGTGCCTATGACATAAACCCTAGCTAATAGATCTGGATCAATGGCCTGAGGTGTTCCACGAGTGTTGTGTCCTCTTCGGGAGTGAACCAGCCATTTTGGGAGCCTGAAACTGTTTTCCTGTGTGTCATGAGAGGTTGTTTCTTAGAGTAGAGATTGCAAAGGAAGAAGTTCGATACCTCAATAACGGTCTCTCTAGGCTAATAGAATCAAGGTCCAAGCAACATAGAACCAAACAAATCTCAACAGAATACTGAATCCCGAGCGGGGGACGTATTCCTACGTATAGCAATAAAAAGAGCGAAAACATGGACAGTTCTGTTAGCAAACCAGACATAATCTATGTGGAGGCGAATTTGCAAAGCTGCCTCTGAGGGTGCGTGCACGTTCAGACGGAAATAGCTTTGTTACAAGTTGAGCACACGTACTTTAGTGTGTAGATCAACCGACGGATGAGCCTTTCTGCATCGCCTCTCACCTCGTATGTCGTGGGTAGACTTTTCATGCAGGTCGGTACGAGTTTCTGGCTGACCAATGGACCGTAAGCTAAAAAAATCTGGGAGGGAAAAGAAACTAGAATGAGGTAAGGAAAGAACAAGGGGACACATGGGGTTTGAAAAATAGCTAGTGTGAAAAGTGCGAGTGCTCAATTCATCAGCACTGGTAACAACATCAAAGAACACCGGTGCTTCGTGCCATACGGAAAAAAGGGAACATGGGAGGACCCAGGGCTAGCCTATCACAGACATCCAGGTTGCCTACCTCTCCACTTATCAGTTACACCATCGGAATAAAAATTGATAGCATTAACATCGGTTGGTCTAGTGTCTCCGGCCAAGTACAGGGTTGCGGGCACATAGACTCCGTCCTGGAAGGGAAACAGCACCTACAGCATGAGGACTTTTCGCAACATCCTTCATTCCCCCTTGACATGTCATATTCTGTCTACCTCTAGGTATGACCCACTTCGAAATAGCCATGGAAAACAACGCTCTTCTCGGGAAGCGGTAACTCGACAGGGCTCATCCAACTGAGCTTAAAGTACTGTGGTGCATTCTGAAACAAGCCGGGCAGCGAGATTTTTGCTCGTATAGTGGTTTCTCTCTACAATGAACTATATAGTCTGTGAGAAAGAAAATGTCAGGACTACAGCATCGTGCTTGAATTGATTGCCCTATTACTCTATTCTCATTTCAGACCACGACTGGATACGCCGGTGTCAGTATTGTATTAGTTCGCATGCCGGGTACCACTGAGTCTCGCCTACGTGGCTTAATGGTAATGTCCGGGAAAGAACATTTTGAAAAATTAAGAAAAGGAGGACCTGATAACGACCAGGCTGTGTGATCGGATCTTGAAAAGTACAACCACACGTATTCCATCCTCACTGGGATTCATCATCACGCAACTAGCTAGATAAATAACAGGTTTTCTTTGGGGACCGATAGCTTGCTGGACGAACGAACTACTAATTCATCGGCAGTAAAGTTGTTTAGACTAAGTCAGCACAGCTGAACTGAACGAAGCATAGCTCCATAAGTAAATCAGCAGTTCCCAAAAGTTAATCAGAAGACGCGCAGTTTTGATTTAGTAGCCTATGATCGCTAGCTGACTGACCCCATCTAAGATAACGTGGTGAGTCTTAACGAGACGGCAAGGTTATACGTGGCAGAGGATTCCATCACATTTTCACTATAGCATGCGTCGAGTAATTCGCAGTATTTCACCACAATCTGAATGGGTTTTCTGAGCTGTTACCTAGACGATGAAACAATGCTAGATTGATGACAAACGATCCACTGTTACATGATACGAAAAACCGATTATCTCGATTAGACCAAATAAATTAAGGATGTGTGGGCAAGACGAGACTGGAAAAGGGGCGCAAAAGTGACAAAACGATGAGCACAGTACGGAGGGGACTGGAGTGAATGAAGGATCACTATTACGAAATTCATCAAGAGACTTTCGACGCTAGACTGGATAAAAATACATCTGTATGGCTTGATGAAGCCCGATTAACGCAGCTAACAAAACAACTAATCTGATCACTTCACCTAATTAACATCTTTGCTTCGTCCAACAGAGACCAGCCTTAAAGCTGTCACCTTGATGTAGTGGTCCGGCTTGAATGCTGCAGTGGTCCTGCGGGCTACACTAGAGGGAACTTCGTTTCACAGGACACAACTATGCCAGAAAGTTCAAAGGTGGTAGACAGATCGAGAGCAGCGAAGCCTTGCACTACGGATAATCGTACTGCGGAACGATTTCGGTAAAGTCATGTTCTCCTCTCCTCTGCGATAGGAGTGTGAACGCAGTATGGTGTTCCCCCCAGACGACCAACTCTTCCATTTTCATGGAAGCGGTGATCCAGCTTTCGTCCGAAGAAGGATGGGTTAGAAAAGGTCAGCTGTAAGAACCGCACACTCCGATCGCCTAACGATAGACCGTGATACCGGCACATTATTCAATACGGCATAAATAATTTAAAAAACAAAGTGTCTGGTGCTGCTTGAAGGGCAACTGCTCCGCACAGGCACATTAGCTTCTAAAAGGAATGCCTTGCATCATGAACTCTCGGGTTGGCACAGGCCTCTCCAGCAGAGCATGCCAGACCATTGAGTTATCAGCTCCGGAAATCGTCCCTAGAGAAAGCCCTACTGCCAGCTGCTTGGTGCGTCAGACTTTTGATTCGGAGGCTAGAGGCAGGGGCCTCCCAAAAAACCTACATTCTCCCACTGCTTTGAGTCAGACTTTTGAGTCCAGGGCTCAAGGTGAGGTACCTCAACCAAACTGGGAAGCATCGTTTGCCCGCACAGTCCTTTTTCCGCCGATCTGCCCCCAAATCCCTTCCCACCACACAAGCAAACGTTGCTGAGTCACTTGATTGTCACTTATCCGACTAATGTGCTTTATAAGTCCCGCTGCCTACTAACAATAAAAATACCTCGCTAAATTCACGAGATCCCTTTTACATAGGAGCTTTTAACGTCCGTACCTCATGTCAAATTGGCAAACAGGCAGTGCACAGTGAGACCTTATGCTCCCTTAAAATTGATGTATGCTGTGTCTCCGAAACACGCATACAAGACCCGAGATTGGGTATGCACCTCAGAACGCCAAGGATGAACAAAGCTCTTTTGCATTTCTCCATCCGTGTGTCCAGTGATCCAGAAGCGGTGACTCGTCGAGTATATGGCGTGGGAGTTGCAATCAACTTCAGAACTGAATGGGCTTTGCTGGACTGGATCCCAGTGAACAGTCGTCTTTGCACCTTCTTGTTATCCAGTTCAATCAAGCACAACACCTCTCGGCATGAAAAGCGGTGCCTGTTTGTAGGGTCGACTGCAGTTCTGATGCTGATAAGGGTACTTTCCAGGGAGAATCATCCAGGCTCACTTTTCAAGCAAGAAGCACTGACATTGTGATCATTGCGGGCTATACGAATGCTCAAGTTGGTCGTCTTAGCTCCTTGGAATCACATCTGGGCGGTCACTTCGGAACAGATTCTCGTCGCACAGAAAACGGACAGCGAATCCTTCAGGTGCGTGCTGATCATTACCTATTTCTTGCTAGTACGAACTTCCAGTATAAAAGTTCGCATCGCGTAACCTAGCGACCACCAGCTTGTAGCGCTCAGTGCTGTCTGTCCGACATCTCCAACACGATCAAATGATATCGCCAAGAATGCCAGTCTTGATTGATGCCAAGAAATCCATAACCAGTAAGTAACGAGTAAGGTGTCGCACGCAAATCTCTCAAACATCAAACGGTGAAGAACCTAAGGAAAGACGGAGAGTTCTGGTGGTCAATGATAGCTAAGGGGATGGGACAGGCTTATGCCAATGGGAACAGCCGTGTCCTATACCACTTAATACAATCTACTGGCGAAGGACTGCGTCAGTGAAGCGTTGAGTGAAAAAGACGGCTCATTAATTCACTTGAAAAAAACGCCGACTTGAAAGGTGGGCCGAACATTCCAAAGTGCAGTTGAGCTGGCCTCCTGCAACACAGTCTCTGGGGATAATGCACACTGGCGAATGGAATGTAAGGTTCAGTCACCCGACAGAAGAAATAAGATACGATAAGGAAAAGTGAGAATGAACCACGAAGGGGAGGTCTGTATACAACGCTCTTCAGAGAAGGCGGAAAATCCATGGTGCCCCATCTGACAAAACACAATGATGCGACATAGTGTGAAGAGAAAGTGCTTGCGGAGTGGGGACATCGACAGTGATCCCCGTCTTCAAAAAATGGATGCTGACGCTGTGTGAAAATCAACGTGGTACCAGCCTGGTAGTTGTGACATCCCTCGAGGGTTGAATGAAGCCAACAAAAGTCAGACCCATTAAAACAAAGCTGGGAGCCATCCTGCAAGAGATGCATCCACCACATTTTCACCCTCCGACAGTGTAACTGCTTCCAGCAAACCACTTGAAAGCTGCCTTTGACTCTATGACCGTCACGCATCATGGCAAAGGTGTTCTAAGTAAATTCTTGACCCTTCTTAGGTCATTGTGCGCCAACTCCCCCTAAAGCCTGAGGGTCAGCGGGATTGCCGTCACGCAAAGCAGTCCTCTTTCACCTTTCCTCTTCGGCTTCGTTAATCATATGATCATAAGACACTCACTCCCAGCCTCTAACGCCTGTGGGGTCGAAATGAACTGATCACACTCCATAGATTGCACTGGCTTGGTCAAGTACTTCGTATACCAGTCGATCGACTTCCTCGAAGAGTCCCTTTCACACAACCACGCCAAGGGTGGAAACGAGCAGTGGGAGATCAAACAATGACTTGACATGAAAGTATGAAAGTAAGTACCAGCAGACTCAGATGCACTGGTCATTGTCATCTCCCTTGACGGGGACCCAGAGACAGTCCACATCGATGGTTAGAGGCATTGTCACACATGGTCCAGTCGCGCCCATGCATCCAAGCTACTGTCTTCAGTGAGTAGCTCAACTCACAATCTTCCCAACGAAAAGTCCACTGACAAAGCTGTATTTACGCATCAATAATATCAGCTGCCGCGTTCAATGCCTAGCTATCTATCCCACGTCCCTAAATCATCGGCGGACGAAACTGTGGCAGCTATGACCACTGCACCGCAAATGCGCGGTTCTTACAGCTGATAGTGATCTCTATATAGACTGTTTCAATCTGTGCTCACGAAGGAAATCTACCCAGTGTCGGCTGTTTCGAAGACATTCAGGCAATGACCACGGAGTATCTTATAAATAAGATCATCCGTTGGAGAACGAGCAATGAGGTAGTAAACTGTCACATGTCATTGTTGCGCTTACCAAGGGCGCACGCACGCGCGTCGGTCCATTACGAACTTGTTTATCACTATAGCATGCGGATTTGCATGCGCACGTGGTTCGACAAAGCGGGTGAATTTCAAACTACTGTAAACAAGGAATGTTAACAGTAACCACCGATGTACAAGTTGGCTATTATTGAAAATCGACAAGTAAGACTTCAAGTACGACGTACCTTCGCCTCGGAGACAAGCATAATAACATCATTTCCGGGGCAGGAACCCAATGACCATCGGGATCTGATTTCTTCTGCCAATTCAATGCCTGAAACGTGTTGGCTGGAAAGGAAAGTAACGGGGTGAAATCTGAGTGCTTGAAGCTGGCAAATAGCATGAAACTTCAGCGCGAATCAAGGGGCATGGAATGACGGTTTTATTCATGATAAGTAGAATTTAAAAGAAAACATGCATTGGAAGTTAAAACGGCTGTGACACGTCCCCAACTGAGGACAGAGAAGGAGCGTTAATTTAGGTGGGAAAGCGAAAACTCGTTCAACTACAGTGAGTCGAACACGCGAAGCTCCATGGTTGAACTACAAAACGCGATCGACCCGACAGTCGCCGATTACAGATTGTGTTCAAAAGACAAGAAGGGGTACGAAATGAACCATCGGACATACGATAAAGCTGAAGTGTGAATCTAAATCACAGAACCGATGCAAACGATGAAATATCAACTGGCAGCTACGTAGCGAATTGTTTCAACCGCTGTGAACATTATTAGACAGGGACAGCCAAGAGAAATTTACGTATTGATGTCTCCATAGGGAATGGAAATATATTAACCATTTGAACAAGAGGGATGAAAATACTTCACAGGATTACGGTACTCTGAAGTCAAGTGGATGAGTAGTAATTTTCGTTATTTTGAGTTGCAGTTATTACTGTTATCGTTATTCAGTCTAACTATAAAAAACTGTTGGGTATTCCGTACCTGTAGGGGCATTGGAAGGAACCTATCGAAAACTAAACCAAACAGTGCCAATCAATGATAAATGCTCGTCTGAAGGTACTTTTCGTTGATTGGACGGTGCGTACACTCAACGCTACCTTCTCACACGATACACCCTTTCACACATTCTAAGCTGAGGTATAAACATGTTCAGTTCAGTTTGTCAGTTGGCAGTAAAAGCATTTGCATTCGTCTTGGCGAGTTAACTCAGGTGGAACCAGTGATTAGCTAAGACACTATTTAACACTACCTAGTTCACGACAGAGGTTTTACTGATCAAGTTAGAAGGTTGTTTAGTGGCATGTTACTTAAGATTTTTGACTGATAAATCCAATGCTAAATAGGAGGAGTATTTTCCATTTGTGTTATTTGTGGCGACAAAAGCGAATTCCATCAAAACTAAGGAATGTGCATACATGAAGACTGTAACAGAAGTCTTTATTTATAGTTGCGAGACTTGTCTCCCCTTGCTAAAGGTCTTGAATGCTTGCAACCACACGATAATCGATGCTTTCGTCGCATAGTCGAACGATCATTGTTTGAAGTCAGAGATGGTCTTAAATTGCAGTACTGACCGGAACAACAGAGCGTTATTGATAGGATACTTGAAGCCAGAGTTCGCCTCCATTGACGAGCTATGTTGATTGGCTGGGGGATGGCTCCTCAGATTCGTATCATCATTGGTCGATAGTGTTGTCAGCTTGTTGTGAGCTGATTTCACCCTAGGTTTTGTGTGGCCTGGTATAACGCTACAACCTTGTTCTTGATCATCTCCTCTGTCTTTGAACCAACTCATTATCTCTTCCTGTTCTTTCCACTCCCCACTAAAACATTCCTTACTCATGGTTGTGTAGCAGCTGAGCACTGGCATTTACTGCTAGTGTTTAGATGCCAATTATGCTACCATCCTTTTTTGACGAGAATACTGTCGCTCAGCCAACTAGGAAAGAGCACATAAGAAAAGCAACCCGAGCAATAATCCTCCATCAAGCGAAAAGGCTATCTAAAAAGCGTTGACTGTTGGGGAAAAACCATGATGGACGGACCAGAGTTATTGATTTTGAACAGGCAGAGGCGTTCGCGTGATCCAGGATGGAAGGACCATTCGAAGGAGAGTTATGTGGACTTCCTAGCTGCTCATAACTGCAGTAGGCATACTGAAGCTGATATGAAAGTCGCATGTTCTTCACAGCTGTTTCCCACCACCCAGTCAGCTGACTAAGATGCGAACCGAAATCTTACCTACTGTGTATAGAATAGTTTTGAGATGACTTTGTCGTTTGTCAACACCAACTCCCATTATAAAATGGAAATGCTGCTACATCATTGGATTGAGAATTTGTCATTTCACATCGCGGGCAGACAACACACGTTCTGCAGTTCTTGTCTTCCATGTTCAAACGGTCCTGGAATACCTCAGTGGTTAAGGCGCCAGATTTGGGACCGGAGGGTCTGTGGTTCGAACCAGACCTGAGCATTTAGACTGCTCCTGTCTAGGCATGGGTAACCTGGCAGTAACCCGAGCCTGGTGCTTTCTTCCGTTAGCATGGCAGATAGGCACCGAAAGAGTGCTACAAATGAACGATCACTAGTTTCTACTCAAACTTGCTGCTTTCCCACTGTGCAACTGAGTTGTGATCGTTTGCTCCCGTGAGTAAGCCTGTCAGGTGAGTCAGTAGTGTTTGCTGGGACAATTGAAACAGAGAACCCAACCGTCTCCTTGTTAGGCGGAATTCCGCACCGAAACCACGTTGCCGCTCGTAGTTGGGTGCTGCTAAGGTCATTAAGACGATCCCGCACGCGATTGACTAGAAGATCGGGTCGCTTGCCGGTCCAGCATCAAGCCGAGATATGATTGAACGAAAGTGTGGACCCAACAGCCAATCATGATAAAGTATCCGCCAAATGCCGGTTGCAAGTGTCGTATCCCGAAGCCACCGGTATATCCAAAATGTTGTCGCCGCATACACCTTATACGCGACGTGCTGTGCATGTTTTTGACCTGGTTTGGGGTGCTTAATATACGTTATGCACCTTTGGTAGTCCGTTTGACGAGAACGCTAGCTTGGAACGTTCAGACCAAGAAATAAGCTGAGGCGTTACCATTATTACTCCTACTACACAACTAAGCAGTACTAAAAATGTTTTCTAGTTGCCAAAACCCCGACATAATTATCATATTTTGCTTCGGTTCTAGGGCAACCACTTCCGAAGAAATGCCGATATGGTCTCCTGCGCTTAACCACGTATTTTTGGGATATGATTTTCAAGTACATAATAATGGTAAAAACCTCTCTACAACAAGAATAGACCGATGGATTGAGTGCTTTCAAAGAGAAAATGCATCCCAAGACAAATTGCACACCCACACTTTGGTTCCAGGAGGCAAATAGCAGCGGGTTGTCGCAAAGACGAGAAATTTGCTTTAGCTGTTGTCATCCAAAAGGGCGGTACCAGAACTCAATGGCACTGGCCGAAAGGGGGACAATGTGTGGCAGCAGAATATGGGGACCTAATAAGTACAGAGAATTACAGCTCTGATCTCATTAAAGCGCCTAGTCTTCCTTCGATTTATCTGATAAATCAAGTAATAGTACCCGAAAGCTGTCTGCCGATAGATAACAAAGAGCGAACAGAAGATGAACTCCATTTAGATTAATATGTGTGGTTGTTGGTTTGTTCCTCGAGCAGTTGCAAACGCGTCATCACCAATCGAGGTGGCATCGTCAGTGCGGAGTTGTATTGTTCATATAACAGTGAATCACCGACTCGGGAGTTGAGAATACCACAATGGAAATCAGACCAAGTGAAACATATTTCTGTGATTCACTAAATGCATGCTGTATGACCAAAGAACACCCATAAATCGGACTAAAGGCTGAAGCAGCACTCACATAAATAAGCTATAAGTTGAGTTCAACTGTCACACAGTGGCCTGTAGCTGGTGGACGAACAACGCCAATCAAAAGTAATCGGGCTGGAAACTCATCCTTATCTGGACCTGTGAATAATCAGTCATGACACACCATCATTGTTACACACAAAACTGTGTATCGTGTCCAGACCGAAGACGCCCAATTACGCAAGCGATAGATGCACTCCTCAAACAGAGTGGATGGTAGGCCGTCGACTGGAGAAGCAACACTGCCTATGCCTATGGGAGACTTATACGGTTCGCCACATCAAGCCCTTGGTTTCGGTTCTCTTTGTTTTCTATTATTAGCTCGACTTTGTTGTGCCTAGACTGCACTGTAATGAATAATATTATATTGTATGTTACTGCACCATCCCTAAAAAGGCATTTCAAGCGTGCGTCTGAAAATAACCAGCCCTAACACTCTGGATATTCTTTCATATTAATGCTATAGTGGCTCCAGAATTGGCGTTCTTTGACCAGTTGTGTAAACCATACTGACTACTAGCTATCATTGTCCAGCCATATATGTGCCTTGGGTGCGTCCGGTATAGTGCAAGCTACCCTGGGCATACACCGTGGCCCCACATGATTTGGTAGAAATTAGATACCGGTTGAAGAATGCCGGTGGCTTTGCAGCTGCTTCCTTCCGGTCTTGTTCCCTCGGGTATGAGGCGTTTGGCTGGTCACAAATGAAGCCCGCGGCAAACCAGAGGTGAAATTACCTACTGTGTGCAAGGAAGGATCCATCGCCGTAGCTTAATATTACAGACAAATGCGGAAAATGATGCCAGTACACAACAGTCGGATATAACCAACGTATTGAATGACTGGTCAAAACATCCTGGGTTACTAAAGGGAACAAATAGTAATATAACAGCTGACTCAGTAGAAAGATCCAAGTCAACAGGACAAACGCCAGCCAAGAGAATCACACAATGACAGAAGGAATAGTATACCCAACATTATACTCACGGCAGCAAAGACTTCAAGAAAACCGTCCCGATAACCAGCCTTTTTGATGCGCCTTCTCCATTTGAAGTGCACTTTGTGGAACAGAGGCATATTGTACGGGAACCAACGCTAGATAGGTTGATCTGTAATCTCTGACCTACAAAACAAGCGAAAAGTAAAACGACGTGAAACGGAAAAATGACTAACGGTGATAAGGTAACTGAAAAAAGAGATTGCTTCAGGTAAGCTCATACAAGGCCCTACATACTACGTGTTGGTACGCAGATAATAGAAGATGCTTTCTTTTGATAAGGACTGTTGGTTTAATTTCTGTGATGCTCAATAAGTAGTGACCAATCATTAACCTAGGCCCCATGGTACGACGTTGCAGCTTTACATTACATCCAATGTTGATTAAAAAGCTAGCTCGAGGTCTACACAGTGCGTTCACATTGGCAGCCTCTAGCGTGCAGATCTAAATGTGATCAGGTCAACTGAAACATGAGGCGGCCTGGTGTAGCACATTCAGTTGCCTGGAAACATCACAAACGAGGGATTCAGCTGGGTTCCAGGTAAGTCTCTCGCAAAACCAAATTTGTTTGCAGAAGAATGTATTTCGCTAATTTCGTGCAATTTGGTTTCAAGTAGAACAGAAGGGTGACGGAAACTCGGGGGCTGCGCCTACTTGATGAGCCCGAAGAAGAGCAAAACCGGTCGTGGGCTGTCGACGAATTTTCAGCAACCTTGTGGGTAAAGCATATACATGTATCGCGATATCTCGAATATCGTAGCAACTGAAACATGAAGCGGCCTGGCACAGCACACTCAGCTGCTTGGAAACATCACAAACGAGAGATTCAGCTGGGTTCCATGTGAACCTTCTGCAAAACCAAACTTATTTGCGAATGAGTGTATGTATGTATACCTTACTAAATTCGACAGACTGTGATGAGCTTATAACTGTTGGATGGTCGACTTTGGGCCACAGAATGTTTTTGATGTGACGTGTTGCTATCTCATCATCAAACCTTGTCCGCAGTTTCGTGCAAAAGCCTGAGCGGAAACGTAGGCAAGAAGATCAAAATCCGGTCCTTTCCGAATGCATCCGTTGTCTTGATTGGGACCTGTTCAAAATGTTATGGGTCTCCGTGGGTTCGGAGCTGTACAGTTGTTGCAAGGAATGTAGTGATATGGCCAAAAGTAATGAAAGTGTTTAACCTGACGTGAATTGCCTGCTGTATTGTTGAGATCAAAAGCCCTTACCATTTGTTTTTTGAATAGAAGATTAGGGGACACAATTCAAATAGAAGCTATTCAAACTGGAGTTTTGCATGAAGCGCCTGTATCTCACAATTAGTTTGACCTCCCATAGCAAATTTAAGTATACTGCAGTACGTGTATGAGACAAAGAACTCTGGATTAGTTGAATTATTCTGCGACTAATTCCGGGTTGTGTGTGACGTTTCGTTAGTGACTCCATTTGAGGTTCTCATGGAAACTTGGGCAAGCAACAACAAATAATTTCAGAAAGCTCAGCAATCAGTAAACTCGTTAGTGGACAGTAGTTTACCTTTGCCAGAAAACCTTCACGTCAGGTGAGTAGGTTAACATGTTCACCGAGTTGGCATCCCAGCTGATGTTCCACCACCTACGAATTTTATTGATTCTTGTAGGTTAATCAGTGCTACGACAACTTAGTCAGCGGGGGGGGGGCACAGAGTTTTTGGTCAGTTCGGGTTATATACTTCAAATCTGAACCGATTGCGTTGGTGAAGTCTCTCGAGTAACAACCATAAGCCGCTGTGTCATCTCGACTGATCTCTAAGCGATCACCAGTGCGGTGCGTACTGATTTCCACCGCTTCGGCCATCAGTCGCTGTGGTGTGAATTATAGTCATCATCCCCAGAACGGCAAAATTTTGTAAATTTATTTTGTGATCGGTGTCTAGTGCGAACCGATTCCAGTGTGAAGCTCTCCATCCTATGTGGAGCTGTGAAGGCAGTCGGTTGTTCTACTTGCTGGGATGTGATATGTGAACGAAGGATGCGAACGGTTGTAAGAAAATAACCTATTAATGAATCAAACACCTTTAGTTCTGGAGCTGAGTGCAACTCCCACACCATATATTCCACGAGTCATGGTTTCTGGATCACCAGATACACGAAGAAAGAAATGTGAAAGAGCTGAGCTAATTCTTGGTGTTCCGAGGTGCATTACCGCTCTCAGGTCTTGTATGGGTGTTTCGGAGAGACACGAGTTTAAGGGAACAAAAGGTCTCAAGTGTGCATTACCTGTTTGCCAATTTGACATAGAATATGGATGCTAAAAGCTCCTATGTAGAAAGGTGTTATTTTTTTTCTGTTGGTAGGCACCGGGGTGCATAAGGCCCATCGGTTAGATAAGTGGCAGTCAAATGACCCAGCAACGTTCGCTTGTGTGGTGGAAAGGGATTTGGAAGGGACGTCGGTGGATGAAGAACTGTGCGGACAAATGATACTTCCCGGTTTGGTTGAGGTACCTCACCTTGAGCCCTGGACCCAAAAGTTTGACCCACAAAGCAGTGGGGAAGGTAGGCTCTTTTGGGAACTCTAGCCCTAGCCACCGAATCAAAAGTCTGACCCACCAGGGGATTTTGGTGACCCTACCCGTGTAACGGTGATACTACTGATCGCGAGGCACGCGAGTAGTATGTGTTGTTCGTAGAATTTCGCTTTGCGTCGATTGAAAAAGGGAATTCTGTTGCGGAATTCGCGGCGCCACTTTATAACATTTGCTTGGATTTGACCGACGAATGATTGGAGTCAATGAATCTCCAGGAAAGTTCGAGAAAGTTCGTTCGGGAGAAGATCTGTGTCCAGTTTTTGTAACTAAGATGCAGATTAGGGTTTTGCTTCCCTGTTCAATGGTCTGTAACCGGTCAGTTGGCATTGCCGAATAAATAACTCCGCAGCGAAGGCATTCTTCCTTTCATTTGGTGGGGTGACCAGGATAAGATTGAAGATCCCGTGGCCGCAACCCTTTGAGGATGGGGATGTTCGGACCTTCCTGGAGGAATTTGCGGAGGCTGCCGGGCTGGAGACCGACCAGAGTTAGTTGGCAGCGCTGAAGACCCTCCTCAGGGGCCGGGCGAGGGCGGTCCTGGATGCGGCCAGGAGAGTATTCAGAGATTCAAATCAAGGAGCGGGCATTAAATGCGTATTCTCTTACATACATAAAACACCGGCAATTCTGAGCGACAGCAAAGTTGTTGATGATATATGAAGAAATTTTAAAACAAGATACAGAGATATGTCTACAAACTAAAAAGACAGAAAACTTACGTTCACTTGCGCTCAACACGTTTTGGGGGTCACAGACAGGCACAGTAGAGTTATAACATGCCTCCAGTAGGTCCAGTTTTAGTTCGGTAGAGGCTTCGTGCTCCAGTGACGGCCAACATAATGATAAACGTAGGTGAATTAAAACCAGAATGGGAAACCGCATATGAAGTAGTATCCGGTATTCTATAGGATACAGAAAACCCACATTGTAGCGTACAGCTTGTACATAGATCAAAATTGTGGTGCTGAGGAAAATGGTGATTTGATGAAATCGCGACAAAAACAGATGTCATCAGTTTCGCAAAAAAGCAGTAAAAAGTCTAGCAGAAAGATGAATCAAATAAAGCCGTGGAACTTGGAGTTTTGTTATAGCTTCTCAAAACAAGGAGAGTTCAATCTGTTGATTCTTCGAGCGTTATCGGTTTGTTTTAATGTGGCCAATGACCGCTCACAGCCATCCAAATCACCGGTAGTAATATGCCAGGAAATAACACTCAACAGCAAAGAATTGCGAAGATAGAATGCCCAGGAAATAGTGAAGAGTAAGAGGTTTAGGTGCGGTGTTGCCAGAGCTTCCAGCCATGTGCAGAGGTAATCCTGCAGGTTCTAGACGGAAAGATGCGAATACCCCATTGCAATCCGTTTGGTTAAGTAGCCTCATCGTCGTCTGTCTTCCTGTGAACTTCGTAACAGGGATTTAAATAAATAAAAACACTTTCTACGGCAGTTAAATTTAAGGTCTGCGATATATATATATATGTGCATATATATATATATATATGTATATATATATATCCCAATCAACCTAAATTGACTAAGTTTATGTACTGTTCTATAAAATCCGCTTCACCACCTGGTACTTACTTACAAAACATTCGTTGAGAAACTGAAGCCAGCTAACTCCTACTATTTTATTAAGATGTCAGTGACGCTGAAAGCTCCTAGGTAGGACAGACCAGGCTCTACAACTATAAAGAAAGACTACTCTTATGGTCGTCCAGGACATTTGGTTCGCTTGATTCAGTGGAAGTCGTTTCTGACATCATAAATTATCCCAACTTTGTTTTTTTTTTCACGGTACAACCACGGTTATTGATTCTCAATATACAATACGGTTTGTTCCCATTTGACCCCCCAGCACCAGCCATATTCCAGTAGACAATGAAGAGAGTCTTGACCGGCTTAGGTGGAACTGCCGCTTACGTGAGGGGAATCGTTGTCACTAATGCTACTCACGAAGAACTTCTGTCTGGGTTAGCTTATGTCCTCGATCGAATCCACAGTTGTTTTTCATTTGCGAGCAGAGAACTATGTATTTCCTTCATGTTCATTAAATTT